ACACACACACACACACACACACACACACACACACACACACACACACACACACACACAGAAATATAAATCTAATAAGAAATTGTGCTGCTGTTATTATGTTAATTTACTAACTGTTTTTATACAGTTATGTGCAATTTTTAAGTTGTAAGTGGAATGTCGCTCTTGATCAGTTTCCCTTTTTCTGCCCGTAGGATGGTTTGATATTGATGAAAATAAAAACACGAATGTCTACGTGTCAGGTTAGTATCACCTACATATCCTTCTTCTGAATGCCAAGAAGCTGGCGTCCCATAAAGTACCTGACTCTGTTTATCACGTGGCGCTCTCTTGCTCTAATCTTTCTCTCCTGGTCTCTTCTTCTCAGGCCTGCCTCCTGACATCAGCTCCGAGGAGTTTGCAGAGCTGATGTCAAAGTGTGGGATTGTAATGAGGGACCCCATCACCGAAGAGTACAAAGTCAAACTTTACAAAGACAAAGAAGGAAATCTGAAGGGAGATGGTCTTTGCTGCTATCTAAAGGTTAGTCTGTCCTGCTCGGTCAATGCCCCAGACACGCACCATAACTGTGCAAATGTTGTCACTTAATATTGGCAATATTGGCCATAGAGGGTGCCATAGAATACGTGGAGCACAACGTTATTTGTAGTCCTCTTGTTGAGTGGATAGACAAATCTCCTGCTCTTGCTTTCTTTACTCTGGTCAAATGACTGTGTGTACTTGTTTGTGGTTCTCTGCAGAAGGAGTCTGTGGATCTGGCTATACGCCTGATTGATGAGTCAGAGGTCCGAGGTTATAAACTGCATGTGGAAGCCGCACGGTTTGAGCTGAAGGGGCAGTATGACGCCAGCAAAAAGAAGAAGAAAAGCAAAGATTATAAGAAGAAGCTACAGCAGCAGCAGAAGTAAATTCTGTTTTCTGTTCTTATCTGTTTATTTCTGTGTAGCAGGAATAAACTCCTCAGTAGAAGCACTACTGGCCCCTGTTTCTTTATTCTTTGTTTTGTTTTGTAGACAGTTGGATTGGAGGCCAGAGAAAAAAGGAGACGCGAGGAAGAGGCATGAAAAAGTTGTCATCATCAGGAATATGTTCCATCCCAGTGACTTTGAGGTGTGAGAGGAACACACACACACACACACACACACACACACACACACACACACACACACACACACACACACAGAGCATTGTGCATTAATCTCTTTGCTCTCTGTAGGAGGACCCACTGGTGCTGAATGAGTATCGTGAGGATCTGCGGAGTGAGTGTGAGAAGTTTGGGGAAGTTAAGAAGGTCATCCTCTTTGATGTGAGTTTGATTTCTGTATTTTGAAGGTCGTGGTAGGAAATTAGCTAAGAAAAAGTTGAGATGAAGTGGATGCGTGGCTGTATTTGTGCTGCAGAGACACCCGGACGGCGTGGCATCAGTTGCTTTTAAGGAGCCTGAGGAAGCTGATGCGTGTATTCTGTCGTTCAACGGGCGCTGGTTTGGAGGAAGGCAGCTATCTGCTCAGCTTTGGGATGGAACGACAGACTATCAGGTAAATAAAGACAACAGAAATATTGAGGTTTTGGGGGTCTTGGTGATTTACAGTCAAAAGCAGTAATACCTAGCCTGTCATATAATTAGCTCCCTGACAAGTTGGAGTAAGTTTCACAATTTCTAAGTGACGTTTTGGTTCCTGCATGAAATGAAATCTGCGAAAGTTTTAATTGTTCCAAGGGACAGATTTCAGAGTCTGCTTCGTTTTCTGTGCTTCTGTTTGCAGTTAAAGCTTTACTTGGTTGTTCTTTCACTTTCATTAATCAGTTAAAGGAGATCCACTGAGCTTTTCTGACAGCTGTAATTGTCTTTAGCATTCTGTTGTACAGTTCAACATGTGCTTTGTGCCTGAAAGTTAGTACATCTTTTTTTTTTACTGTAGTTCATGTACATTATTGTCACTTTTTTGGGTGCTAGCAGCACTTTATTGCATGAGGTGCTGATTAAATTTTAGGGAACATATTTATTTTATTTTCAATGTATTTTTTTTAAAAGAATGTTTTGTAATTGTCCTGTTTCATGACCCAGTTTAAGGCCAAATTTAACTATCAGACAGATAGCCTGACATGTATCTCTAGAATAATTTGGTACACAGAGGAGTTCATGGTAGACTCAGTGATTGCACGGTGTCCCATTTGGTATTTATTTAAGTAAAACAGGTTATATTTGAATTATTTTGATACGTTAGACTGCCTTAGACTCTACACGTGGTAATATCTCTCGCCTTTCATGTTCTGTACATGCAGGTAGAAGAGACGACACGCGAGCGAGAGGAGCGGCTGAAGGGTTGGTCACAGTTTTTGGAGGGTGGAGAAGGAGAACAGCAGAAGGACTCCAAGCCTGCAGAGAGCAGCACAGCGACAGAACCTAGCGAGCCCTCCAGCACCACTGAGCCAGAGCAGCAACCCAAATCAGAACCGCAGTCCTCAGAGGAGCAACAGGAGGAGGAAGTGGACTCCACTGACAGCAGCCTAGCAGGAAGTGAGGATGAGGAAGCTTAGATACTCTCATCCTCCTTTTATGGCCCTGTGTCAACCAACTAGGATGTCCTGCTTAAAGTGAACTTTGGGAAAACTTCCTGTTGAGAAAGGGAGGAGGAATTTGGACAGTTTAAGCTGTTTTGTAATGTAGAAAATAAAACTAATTTTCTCTAACCTATTTTCATCATTGTGGTTCACCCTGTAATTAGACATGCACTCAACCAGCTTGCTACACCTTACAGCGCTCCCATAATTCAGTGCAGTTTGCTGACACTATGCATTATGCTGACAAAGCTAAATATTAATGACAAAACACAAGAGAGACTGAAACTTTGTTGGATATGAATGTCTTTGGCTTCATTATGTTTTTCATTTTATTTCACATTTGCTTTGTTTCGTTCTTTAATCACTGACAATTTTCTGAGCAGTATTGGAACATAAAATAATCACATGATGGAAATGTGAGATTGCAAAGGGAGAAGCCATCAGCGTTTGCACACACTGCAAAAATCATTGAGCAAAAGTTGTAAAGAAAAAACATAAAAATGGCATAAAAATTGAAAAACGGGACTCCTTGTACATTTATTTTACTCAGCCGCTTGGTGCAAATTGTAAGGTGTATTTATATTCAGCATATTGCCAAATCTTCACTACAGCTGGCTACTAAAGACATATTTACACTATAAACAACAAAAAGAGTGATTTTCAAAGACTGAACATTACTCGGCACATCAACGACCTTAATATGAGAGGAATCTTAAAACAAGAACCAGTTAGTGAAGACAACGATGGTGGGACATCTGCTCACCTGCCTCTGTTTAAGAGTCTGATCTGTACTGCTGTGTCTATTTAGTTTGAGACA